GAGAAGAAAAAAATAACTAGATAAAAACCCGCCTGCATCCAGGATCAACCCGCAATAACAAATCTGCATCACTTTAGGCCTGTAAAAAGAGGTGGCGAGAAAATAATCAGAGGCAACCTATGATTCCCCTTACCCCACCCAAAAAAATAAAGCAGCATATATTCCAACAGCTTTATAAATATGATATAACTACCTTGTTAGCGATGTTGTTAGAAAGCCAATCAAGTCCCTCATAAAGCCCCTCTCCAGATGTTGCACAAGTGCTCTGGATGTACCTGACACAGCAAAGAACCAATTTAGGAAGTCTTCAAAAGTATGCAAAGGAGTTACAAGCACTTACCAGTGACGCTGCCTGAGGGAGTGCAGTCCAAGCTTATCAGTTATTTCAGCAGCATTCATTGCATTAGGAAGATCTTGTTTGTTAGCAAAAACTAGCAGCACAGCATCCCGAAGTTCATCCTGGGACAAAAAGTAAAGACAAAATGTAAACCACAGGTCACTCAAGAAAGTTTAACTCAAATTATGAGATCTCCAAGTTCATCTTGCTCTTGTTATCTAATAAATAATGAGAAGTAGCAATGACTGCAAAACCAGAAGACAGATAACAATGGCAACTATGAGCTGTAAGCAGCAAGAAAATTTCAAAGTAGGTGGTTTTCTCATAGATTGCTACCTCCCGTACTGCCCCTTGCCTATTTTGTCTGTGTTCTTGAAAAGAACAAAAATAAAAAGGAATGTAACATGCACACATTGGGTGATGCAAAGCACCGTGAGACAAACTTCAACTATTTTGATATTTGCTTAAATGGCAAGTTGAAGGAAAATTTCTCTCTTCCCAAACCCATTCTTCCAATTCCGGATATATCTTATAGAATCATTACCAACTTATTAGCGGTGAATCTGAAATGTGAAATACGAGAAAGAAAAAACTTGATGAACCACTTCAATTACTATTTCATTTCACCAACAAACACATCTTAAAAAGTAAGAAACAAGGTCGATGAACTTTTAGTTCAATTATCATTACTTTCACCAACAATGACATCCTAAAAAGTAATGAATCAAAGAAAAGGCAAACAGCCTGGGGAATATTGGGTAGTGAATCATTCAAACATTAACAATGCCAAATCACTGAAACAGCACCTTTGGTTCATTTGAACTTAAGAGAATTGAATTTGATTAGGCGCAATCTAATATTGTAAAAACTATTTAGCATCCCCCCTCCTGGGGGGATCAATAGTGGTTTCCGACTTTCTCACCTTGGTTACTCGAACCCCAACCTTATGGTTGGAGTCAAGGGATCTATTACTAGAGCAAGCCTACATCGGCTTTAATCCTTCTTTAAATTTGGATCAAAGTCATTACCTTTTCTCTGCTAATATTGGAATTTACTTGTATTGGTACTCTACTTTCTTGATAAGGATATGGGTACTTGATTATAATGAAAAAATGATATTCACAGAGAATTCTGTCAAAGAGGATCCAAGTACATTTACAATCAATCATATTTAAACTCGAAACAAGCACATAAATTCAAGCTCTACAGCAAAAGAACCTTTTAGATGCCAGATGTTTACTTTCTGGAAACAATAATAACCATGAACACAGTGTGGGCAAGGATCATTACCTCATTCAACATCCTATGCAATTCATCTCTTGCTTCTACGACACGGTCTCTATCATTACTATCAACCACAAAGATGAGACCCTGAGTGTTCTGGAAGTAGTGCCTCCACAATGGACGGATCTGCAAAAATGAAACACAAAAGAAATTAGAACTACTAGATAATTGACCAAAATCTTCAGTCCATGTGAAAGAATAACGCTACCAGCAAATACAAAAAAGGAAAAAAAAAAGGATGTATCAGACAGAAGAAGAGGCAAGGCTTATTTTTTGCTTATAGTATAAACAAAGGCCAAATCAATGCAGAACTTACTGCCTTTGGGGAAAGAAGAAGAGATTATACCTTGTCCTGACCCCCGACATCCCAAACAGTGAAGCTGATGTTCTTGTACTCAACAGTCTCCACATTGAAACCTGAAATTGCCAATTATTACTGATAGCTCATACAAGCAGTAAAGTATTATTTGCATATCAGCGTACACTTTCTATAAGATGACAAGTATCTCTCGGTACAAATTATGTTTTCAATAGAAAAACAGACTATTATCTAAATGTAAGCATCGTAAAAATTATCATACAGAGTAAAAACAATCATTATGAGTCTGCATGACAAACTGTCACTGATAAACTTTCAGATGTTCTACAGCACCAGTTAGTTGCTAAGACTACGGAACAACCAAAGCAGAGAGAAGCAGACGATAGGAAGGATAGGTTATTACAAACTAAACATTTGCAGCAAACAGCAGGAAGAAGGATTTGTACTACTGCCTACATTCATTCATGTTATTTATTTACTTAATCAAAATAATAAGTTGGTTAATCTTTCAAGAGTCGCATAAGTGATATAAGAGAGGGCAGTTCAAGTGGAAATCTCCCTCCACCCCCAACCTTGAGATTGGGGGTTCGAGCCACCACAAACAAAGTGGGAACACGACACTATTGACTCCTAGGGAGAGGGGTTGGGGTGGGAAGATGTGGTTTACCAATAAAAAAAGGTTGCACAACATAAGTGGACCCCTAACAATAAGATCTAGCACTAATCGATACAAATCATGCAACATACCCAATAACATCCTCGACCAGAGACCAACTCAAAAGTAAAAAAGTAAATATTATGCCTAAGAACTTTGCTGTATGCAGTGATCTACATACCAATGGTGGGAATGGTAGTGACGATCTCTCCCAGCTTCAACTTGTACAATATGGTAGTCTTACCAGCTGCATCAAGACCAACCATTAGAATGCGCATTTCCTTCTTGGCAAAAAGCCGACTGAAGAGCTTGGTGAATGTCAGCCCCATTTCACTTGTTGATGATCCCTACACACCAAAATATTACACAATCAAATCATGGTTGCCTTCAAAATTCAGATGCATATGCTGATTCATACCAAGTTAGAGCTATTCTATATACGGATCTGAATGACAAGGAAAAATGATCACATTGACATGGCCAAAGTAAACTTTTTAAAAGCTCAAACTTAAGTTTTCACGATTCAAACCCTATACATTATAATTTTCAAGCTGCAGTGACTCAATTTTCAGATCAAGCACAGAAACACACAAGAAAATGCATCAGTGGCTGTGAACCTCTAAATCTGAGATAGGTAACCTCATATCACAGAAGCACCAATCGCGTACAAAAAATGTAGCCAAAAATTCTCTAACAAAATTGAATCTTAACATTAAATTGAGTAGATTATAGCGTAAAATCAATCAGAACTTTCTCAAATCCATACAAAACGATTTTTCCTATAGGCCAAATCAAAACAATGACTCAATATTCAGATCATAAAAAATACAAATTCACACAGAAAATGAAGGAAGAAAACGAATCAACAGCTACGAACCGCTAAATCTGAGATCAATAACGTCAAATCACACAAATATCAGCCGCCTACAACAAATAACAAATATGTCCCCAAATTCTTGAAATATTTAAATTTTCTATCATCAGATTGAATACATTAGAGCCTAAAATCAACTGCGAACAGTGTCAAATCCAAAACACGATTTTAACAGCGAATTTATCGAAAAAATTAAAAATAAACAAAAAATTGTAACTATAAAAGCATGAAACTGAACCGAAAAATTAACCTAAGGTTGATAAAATACGAAGATCTACCTGAAAAGAACTTTTGGAGGAGGGATCTAATGAGAGGAGAAACCTGAGATTAACGCTGGAAAATATGTAGAAAGCGGAAAGGAATTTGATTGCAATAAATAAAGGAAAGGAGATCTTTTTTATGTTACCAAAATGGCATTTCAGATTTAATGAAATGACGAGAATGCCACTCTATTCTAATGGTAGGTGCGTTTTGCACCGTCGGTCTGTTTCATGTACGTTGGCAAGTGCAATCAGATACTGACGCGTGTTAATGCTTCAATTTCTGGTTAACGAAAGGGATTGTTAATTTAATTAGTTATTAGGTTTAGGTTTGATTTTGGTTTGTTACAGTGTAACAATTTTTACATGAGAAATAGTTTAGTCCCTTTTCAGCATTTTCTATGTAATATTATACATTTTAGTTCTTTATTGGAGTTACGAGTTATACCGTGTGAATCCGAATTAATCGTGACAATGGTTAAATCAAAAAATACATTGTAGTAATACTTTCTTAGAAGAATCTATATTCGATGTTAGATACTATAAATATTTACTACATATTGTAACTTAATTGGTATTTTGGTTTTAACATGTTATAATCCTTCCTTTTATGTTATATCTCTTACCGCATATAGGTTGCAATTGACTTTGGACAACCACCTAAACTCTTGATTATTGGCATGTTTATTTGAGCATTATAACCTTAGAGACCCTTAATATTTGTGTATTTCGTTTAGTTTGAAATTTACTAAATAGACAGTGGATTTTTTCCATGGGATTGGAAAATACTTTTGGTTCATGAAAAGAAACGTATGGTACTAAGCAAATGAAAACTAACAAGAGAAATTTCCTTAGTCAGCTTTCTTTGCTACAAAGGTTTTGAATCAGTCGACATCAACTGTACTTCTGATATAGTAGTAATTGTTTATGTTATCATTCTCTTTTAGTAAAAAGATATCATTAAAATAATACTCCTATACAGAGTTTGGATTTTAAAGGAAAACAATTGTCATTCACCGTTTTCCGCCGGCATTGACAAGTTCCATTCTCAGCAATCCGAAGCTTCTAAGGATAAGTATAAACTTTCAGCTCCTTACAGTTACAACTTTAAGCTTTTGACCATTCTATTATCATGCTATTTTTGCTATAATAAAAGAAGGTCGAGATCCATCTGGTTGGTGATCACAGCCTTATTTGTGTAATGTAGCTTTTGGATTAAATGAGTAGTCTCAATCTTGTAGGTACTGTAGTTTATTTGTGAGACAAAGATCTGAGTCCAAAATTCATTTGTCAGTCACAAACTGCGTGGGTCTCCAATCGAATCGGCATTCCTATATGACAAACTACACCTCAATCCCGAGTAAGCTGAGATTGGTTACATGAATCCGCAAATAAAAAGAAAATTTTATTAGAATGGCGTAATTAGTACATCATCATAAGGAATGTACTAACAGATTACAAGAACAGTGGAAACTCAAGGCAGCCGGGGAAACTTTGAGAAATCTGGTCGTCTACGTTCATTATATGCATTTTTGCCTTCGCTGCCTTCTTCAGTTCCATAAAATAGAAGAGTGGCATCTCCCCCAAGCCCCTGAGATAATTTTAAAGAAAGAAAATGTGTATCATAAGTATTTGCCTAGTAGGAACATATATCTGGTTGTCCAGAATTATTGAGATTTATGTTCTGTGCTTTGCTTTATACAATGAAAAGAGAAATGCATAGAGTAGAGAAGGACGGCTAAGGAAAATGAAAAGTAAAATAACTGGGTAAAGTTTGCTAGCTCTAATATGAGAACATTTTGAAATATAAGGGAAAAGTGGAAAATATTTGATGTTGAATATACCTGAAGTCCAGCATGTCCATCATCAACTGCATTGAGAGCCGATTTTAGCACCCGTATTGCTGTAGGACTATTTCTTAAGATCTCTCTACACCATTTTATTGTTTCTTGTTCCAACTTATCTAACTGTGAAAGGAAGGAAACAAGACATTGCATTAGAAAACTCCAATGCATTTCTTATGACGGAGGAAGTAAAACCTTTCTCTAAGCTTAAGGAGACCTATAAATTTGTTGCGAGGAGTATAATTTTGAGCTAACTGACAAGTATTTTGTGGTAAAAAATTCTAAGCACTTTAAATTATCGTAAACCAGAAATCATAGGAAGTTCTAATTTCGATTGTTTTTCCTCTTGTTTCCCTATGGTTGTTACACTTACGGTAGCTCTAAGGTTAAAGAAGTAGTATCAGTCTATATACTCACTGGAACAACAGCATTCACAAGTCCCATTTTCTCTGCTTCAGAGGCTGTGTAGAACCTTGTCAAAAACCACATTTCACGAGCTTTTTTCGGCCCAACCTGTTCAGCCAGCAAAAGATTAAACCAATATAAATGAGATTACTTAATTATGTTTGAGATGCACGTTGCTTGTTTTTACACCAATACTTGATCAAGAAGTTCTATCAACATGAAAATAAAAAGACCAATCTGTTATCCATAAAGGAAAACCCAAGATTAGATGCTCACCAAACGAGACATAATTGAACTTCCATAACCAGCATCAAAACTTCCTACCTGCAATTTGCAAAAGAATCAGATCTCATGAATCTTTTTCTGGCATCAGATTTTAACTTTATGTAGATTATTCGTGCAGATAGGGCCTCAAAGTATAACATAAAGGAAAAAGAATAAGAATAAAGTCAAGAAGGCTATAGTAATAAGAATATGAATAACAAGAAGTCAATTGACTTTGTAAATAAGCTAGGATATTCATTCAACATAGAACATTGCTTTATTCCAAACAGTACTTGAATACATGCTCATTTACTGATTTACTAATATATTTTCTCAAGTACACATGTTAAAAAGATGTCACTGATAAAAGCACCTTTGGGCCTGTCTGACCAAATATAGCATTATCTGCTGCAATTGTTAGATCGCAAACCATATGCAAGATGTGTCCGCCTCCAACAGCATAACCTGCAACCTTAGTCGCAAGAAAAGCAAAAGAGACATCCGAAGATAATTGAATTATGTAATAAACAGGGTCACAAAATTAAAGCACTTAACAGAAGAAAGAAAGAGATCCATACCATTGCGATTACTGGTTTTGGAAGACGGCGAATTTGCACCTACGCAGGAAAGAAGAAGAATAAGGTAAACTCAAAAATTACATCAAGTGAAGCTAAGAATGGGACACATCAAAAACTTAATATCAGTTTCCTTTTATTTGTTTAGTCTTAAAACTAACTATCTATCTTAAGGAAAAAAATGTTTTGAAATAACTTAAAGAAGATGACAGATTAGGTTACCTGTAAATCTAGAACATTGAGGCGACCAAAACTTTCAAAATCGGCATAACCATCCTTACTTCTCAATGCCTGATCACCACCGCTACAAAATGCCTTTGTACCCTGCATCAAGTCATTCTTGAGAACAAATGCATGTGGCACAGCTAAATAGATATAATAATTTGAAGTTAACACACTATAAACAGATATCTAGAAAGTGATTTCATAAGGTAGAAAGAAGGTTTTCTTGTTTATTTGTTCCAACGAAACAAACCAAAGAGCAAGTCAAACTTGATTTGGCACCCAGCCAAAAATCTCTGGAAAACCAGCCAAAAGGATTACCTACCAGAAGAATAATGAAGCAAATGAAAAGAGCAGAGGCCAAACCATCTTCAGAAGGGCTCAGTTCTAGTCAGCAACAAATTGTAGTTACTTTTACACTCCTACTACATCTCATTTTTTAGAAATACTCTTGAATGGAACAGATAATCTATATTAAACATGATATGATATTTGTGTAGGAAGCATACCTTTCCGGTGAGTATGATGACTCCCACAGAACCGTCATCCCTGGCATCGTTAAATGCACGAATAAGCTCCTTAATGGTATGTGGTCGAAAAGCATTTCTCCTTTCCGGTCTATTGATTGTTATCTAAGAGAGGAAAGAAAATGATATGAACTAAACTAGACCTCCAACATTCCACTAAGTACAGTTAGTAACAAAGAAGCTTCATTACCTGCTACTAGTTGCTAATAATAAAACAGAGATGCAATGAACCTAAGGTTGCTAATAGTGAATACAGGAAAGCGCCTATCGTTGGTAAATACACTATAGGCCCATACCAGACATCTCGAAAATCATCCTCAATTCAGTATAATTTACTTAATTAAATTATCCTGTGATATTGTTCGGTTAGGCGAGATTTTCCCCAAAAGGCATTACCCACAATAAATTCACCAAAAAAAAAAAAAAAAAAAAAAAAAAAAAAAGGTAAAATGTTAAAAGGCAAAAAACCTTAGCAATGGGTTCAGCAACAGCTTTCTCGTAAATGATATCAGTAAAATCCTTTCCATTCTCTTCAGAAGGAATGAGTCTCCAAACAGGTTCGTGGGTTGGGACTTCACCATGAACTCTGTGGTAATTATCATTAATGGAAGAGCTACACCCAATTGAAGAAACAGCATGTTGAGCCGAAGAAGAAGCAGCAGGCAAAAGATGATTTGCTACCAATGCCACTCTCCTCCTCATCGTGTTAAGATCCTTTTCCGACATTGTGTAATTCTTCACAAGAATAACAAAAAACTATTGTTGAGTTAATTTTGTGTGTTATATGGAGTTGCTGTTGTAGAGTGACAAATATATGATCATTTGATGTCTTGATTGGATAAGATAGAGATAAGATAACTGGGTTTTGTCAGATTTTTTGGAGCCAAAATGGCACTCGCAATCCTATAAATTTTTAATAGCCTATGAGAGTTTGGCATACTTTTTTAAAAGCTAGACAGATTAATAATGTTGTATTAATAACTGTCCTTTTAAGCTCATAATAATCTCTTAGGCACGTGTTATATTAGCACCTAGGTGTAGTGTTGTATAACTCAAGTTTCTTCATAGGGGAAATGATATTGAGAATTAGAGCATGTTTGGACATAAGAAATTTTTTTCTTTTTTTCTAAAAAATTTTCATATTTTTTCGAAATCAGTTTTTGTTCATAAAATTTTTAATTTTCACTTGAAGATGCATTTGGAAAATTTCAAAAATTTGAAAAACTCCAAAAAGTTATTTTTCAAAAATTTCACTCATAAAACTTCAAAAAAAAACCCAAAATTATATTCATATCCAAACACAACTCTAAATTTCAAATACTATTTTCACTTGAAAAAAAATTTCACTTTTTTTTTGGAATTTTACAATTCTTATGTTCAAACGCCCACTTAATATGTGAGATATTTGCATTTTCTATTTGCCCTAAAAATAGTTTCATAATTTTTATTTAAAAATAATCTAAGATTTATAGCCAGAACATTGAGTCAATGTTTCAAATGTAGATGCCTAACAAAAAAGGGAAAAAGACATAATTACCTATAAAAGTTAAAATATTTATCCTGCCATACCCATTAAAAAATTCAACCCATTAAATAATTACAATTCCTGCCCATTTAAGCTAAACGGAAGAGCATCTCAAAATAACAACCAACGCCTAATGCCCTAACTATAAAAACGGAAGAGCACCTCAAATTTTGGTAGAATTTCACAAAAGTTAGCGCACAAAAACTGAGATTCCACCGGCATCACAAAATCGTTGTTGAAGATTTGAAGATCGCAATCCAAAGCCTGAAAAAAACAGAGCGATAGCAGCTGAAAATCCGACTTTTTCTACTCAAATTCTGTTGAAGTAAAAGTATTTTCAATATGTTCAAATCATAGCAGCTGATTTGAGTTTCGAAGATGCTGAAACTTTTGCTGCTCAAATTTGCATCGTGTTGTTCAGATTTTTATTTTGGAGATTAAAGAAGTTTAGCGCTCAAACTTTTGAATTTTTAACTGAAAATTCTGTTCTCAGGTTGGAGATCTCGATATTTGGAGGTTTGAATCATAGCAGCTGATTTGAGTTCAAAAAATCTGCTATTGAAATTCAGTATTTGACATTAACACTATTGAAATTTGCACTGTCGAGCTTTGATTTTAGACATAAAAGTAGTTTAGCGCTCAAGCTGTGTAAAAGCATAAAAACTGAATTTTAACTGAAATTTTGTTGTCAATTTGGAGATCTGAACATCTCGAGGTTTGAATCATATCACATGATTTAAGTTGACATTAAAAATGCTAAAATTAGCACTGTTGAGATTCGATTTTCGAGTTAAAAGCAGTTTAGTTTGATAAATCTAAGTTTAGACTCTGTATAACCATGGAAAATATATCAATTTTGCTGCAACATAGCGGAGAATGAGATGATAACCATAATTTCATAAACTTTCATGTTAATGTAATTCTAATAAGGACTTGTTGAAATTTTGAATAATTTCTCATAGAAATTGCAAAGCAGCTGCAGAAGGACATCAGCACAATAGTTATTCAGTATGTTATTGCTCAAGGATATCCGCCAATTATAATTTGCAGCAATATGGGCGTTAGTGTTTACATGAAACTGAAAAAATCAAATGTAAGGATGACAACACTCCCACTATGTGTGTCGTTTGCTGAAAATACTATAGTTGCAAGCATCTCCAGTGTCGATGTTGCTACAATTTCATTAGAAATTGCAAAATTTGAAACCAATGATATGATCAACACTTTTAATATGCAAGAGGGAGATGACGCCAATATACAACTTGATGATGCAAACATCATAACTGATCCATTTCATCAAAAAGTTGAAAAAGAAAAAAATTAACAAAGACAAGAACCTGCTGGCTCTCGTTATGAAACAGTATATCGTTAGAGAAAAATATCAATATCGGGTTAATAATCTTGCTCTAAAAGGTTCATCTGCATTTTTTGAAGTAAAGACTATGTGATACCGATATAGTATATTAGGATGCTATATCAGTATACTATGTGAGTATAGAATTATATTGGTTTGCGTGTGTATTTTATCAGTAAAAGATGATACCAATATAGTATATCAATATATTATATGAGTATAATATTGTACTGTTTTGTTTTTATGTGTGTGTATTTTGTCAATAAAAGATGATATTTATATAGTATATAAGTATGTTATATCGGTATATTATGTGAGTATAGAATTGTACTAGTTGTTTGTTTGTGTGTTTTATCAGTAAAAGATGATACTAATATAGTATGTAAGTATGCTATATCAGTATACTATATGAGTATAGAATTGTAATGGTTTGTTTGTATTTTTATCAGTAAAACATGATACCGATATAGTATATAAGTATCTTATATCAGTATATTATGTGTGTATAGAATTGTTCTAATTTATTTATTTTTTTATCAGTAAAACGCTGATATAGTATCTAAGTATGCTATATCAGTATACTATGTTGAAGTAAACGACGACATAAATATATAAACATTATGCATATTTATTATATCAGTATACTATTTGAGTATACCATTATTTTGATCATTATTCTTCTCTGCACATAACTGTATTTGTATTATAAATAGGTATACCCTTGATTGCATGGATGCAAGATGCAATTGGAGACTTAAAGCATCAAGTCTACGAGCATAAAAAAATTTCAAAGTGACGATTTTTAATTCTGTCTACAGTTATTTAAATGATAAGAGATTTTGTTCACAAATACAAACTGTCTCAACTTTTGTTGCAGCTATGGTATAAGATAAGCTTGTTGACCCAAAACTATACATACACCAACAAATATCCATAGAGACATCCAAAAAGCATATGGTATGTGTCACGACCCATTTTCTGAACAAAACAGGACTGGTACTCGATCACTAAACATGACCGAGCGAACCATCTCTACTTATCAAATCTATTATAACTTCAAACTTTATATGCAACAAGGCAACACTCTAACCAAATACTTTTGATTAATTTAAGTATTTAAATAAATTAACTCCAAAACTTTATTTGTAGTAACTATAGAAATACTGCTAAGTTATTATAAAAAACATCTGAATTTTAACCCAACGACTATGTCTATGAAGCCTCTACTGATAAACTGACGCAATGCTCAAGACATGAGATTTGCTGGCTAGTTCTCTAAGTAAACAAAGAAATAACTAAATAAAGATGACTCTAAGTAATACTTCACGAACAAAAGCGGAGCTCACCAATAGCACTAGAAGTGAGGAAAGTCCTAACCCGTAGCCTGCTCGCCTACAAAACCGGTTCCTACGTTGTACCGTGGACCAACGTAGGTTCCCAAAAGAGAACGTCAGTACCATCCATTGTACTCAGTGAGTCTCAACGACAGGGGGCGAAACTTTAATAACATATACATTACGAGCAAATGTTCTAAATGCATGTAAAACATAAAGCTTATAAGAATAATTATAAAATAATGGTATAATAGCAGTTTATGAATATTCTAAAAGAAATTCTTTTCTTTTTCAAAAAAAAAATACTTCTCTTTATACTTTGGGAGTTTCAACTATCCTGATTTAATTATGTCTTAGTCATCGTGTGATCGGCACGGGTTCAATCCCAACCTGATCGAATAGGCCCAATCCATGAAGTGCCACTCACTTCATGGTTCTCAGCGCTCATGTATCATGCCTTAGCATGGCTAAGTAAACTCTCAGCAACGAGACCCTCGGCTCGTGTGCTCCCTACTTTGGCACAAGTAGTTTCAGGAAATCAACGCTTTGGTCATGACCCTCGGCCTGGACGATGACCCCTTCTCAAAATAAAAGATACTCCCAAAAATTTTTTCTTTCAAAAACTTCTTCTTGTGACTTTTAAAATCTAAATCTTTCAAACATACTTATTCTGGAATCCTTAAAGATAAGGTATGACATAAGAATGAAATAAACATTCAAAATTATTTCTAAAGATTCTTGCTTCTTCATGAATTTTCAACAGGAAAATGGCATATAAGAATAAAATAAAAATCTAAAAATTTATGCACATATATCAAAATAATCATCTAAACTTTATCTAGAAAATAATTCTAAGCTAATAGGTACTTACTCACCCCAATTAAGTACATATAAATACTTTTAAGCAATTCATCAAACACCTTGTATGCGTACTTTTGTGAGTTAAACCACTTTAGTAAAGGGTTATATCAACTCACCTCAAAACTTCTCGAGCCAATATGTAGGCCCCAGTCCAATTGGTACCGGTCAAACAATCAATTCTACAATAACTAGTGCATTTTAATTAATTATAAAGTTTCGCACCTAAACTGTAACGACTCGACTGGTTGTTTTGTGCAATTGTGTCTGGTGTGGCAGTTTGAGGTCACAAGAAGCTTCATAATAGGTGTATCAACTCGCGTGCATGGTTAAATTCAGTTAACCGATGATTCATAGTCAAAGAGGAAGAAGGAAACTAGTTTTGGAAGCTTAAACAATGAGAATTTGACCGAAATTGGACTTTTGAGTAAACGGCCCTGGAATGGGTTATAGGTGATCTCAACAACTTTGTATGGTAAATTTTGGACTTAGGCGCACGTCCGGATTCAGATTTGGAGGCCCATAGGATAATTGGAGGTATTTCGGCGAAAGTTGAAAAAGTTGAAGTTTATAAAATGTGGAGGTTTGACCCATGGTTGACTTTTGTGTTATCGAGGTTGGAATGCGATTCCGAAAGTTGGAACAGCTTCGTTATGTCATTTGGGACTTGTCTGCAAAATTTGGCGTCATTCAGGGTTGATTTGATAGGTTTCGCCACTAGTTTTGGATGTTGGAATGTTTGAAAGTTCCTAAGTTTGATTCATGGTGTGATTCGTTGTTTTGGCTTCTTTTGATGTGATTTGAGACC